TTTATACCATTTTATGCAATTTCTGCTCAATTGGATGACATAATCATAGAATCACAGAATGGTCTGAGTTGGAAGGGACCCTAAAGATCATTTGGTCCAACCCCCCTGCCATCAGCATCCTCCCACCAGACCAGGTTGCCCAAAGCCCTGTCCAACCTGGCCTTGAACACTTCCAGGGAGGGAGCATCTACAACTTCCCTGGGAAACCTGTGCCAGTGGGAATAATCAACATCTGAGAAGCAGGGATATGAAAAAACCCCAAAGAATACAAATAATTTATGTGTTAACATTAATAAAATCATTCACAATCATGCCAATTCCTTTAGTGCTTTTCTTCCCACCCCCAGTCCCACAGCTGCATTTGTATCTAACTACCCAAGCACAGGATCCTTAGTTCAGTCTGTACTTGAGAACATTGTATTTTGCTTTTTGATCAGACACATTCCCAAAAGCCAAATGCAAATAAACCTTGTGAAGAATTTTGAAACTGGAGCAATTAACTTGCTAAGCATTTCCTGAAAGTGTCAAATGGTACAGCACTCTCAATTTGCAGTACTTGTCACTTCCCAAACTAGCTGCACATCCACTTTCTAAATGAAGGAGCTTATTGCAGTTTAATTTCACAAATACCAAGGAATTCTCACCAAAGCTTATTTCAGACAAGTATTCTTATACCCTCAATAGAGCAAAAATGTCACCGTGGCCAATAAAATACGTTTTGATATTTTTTCTTAGCAAGTGATCCAATTCAGACTTGATCTGTATTACAAAGGCACGTCCATGTAGCTGCGTCAGCCAGGATAATAAGAGACACATCCGTAGCAAAAACATGCAGAGAAGCAAAACCCTGTGCTGTTACTGCAAGTTATCAAAAAACCTGCTTTCAAACCTATGTCAGAGAAGTACACGGAGGCAGCACACCTAACCTGACAGACAATCTCTCCTTTACAGGCCTTGCTAAAACACTTATGCTAACAGAAAATGTGTGTTTCAGGCATACTTTGAGAGGTACAGCAGAACTGGATTTTGCAAAGTATTTATTAATGTAACACCCTTCATTTGACCTTCAGGCAGATGTAACTCCCTTAATTCTTCAGAATGATTGTTTCTTAGCATCCTTATGTGTCTGTTCATAACAACGTGGTAAATGATTTATTTTTAAAAATTAGCTTGAGTATCAGATGCATTAACCATTAAGAAGAGTAGGATGATGGGAATATTTTCTTTTACAAAAGTCAAAGAGGAGCACAGCACCAGGTAGGTAAATTCACATATTTGTCGCTAAAGAGGGAGAGGTGAGTAAAAATCCTACGTCCTCACAAAAATAAGACATCAGGGTAGGCACTCTAGTTAATTCCTGAGCTGATGAAGCTCAGATGGCCCCTCATTCCCCAGGGATGGGAGGTGGCTTGAGGATTTAAACCCCCAGTGCTTGGTATCCTACAGATGGGACTTGCTCAGGTGCAATTTATTGGGTTGTTGCTCTTTGTCTGCAAGCTGTGTTTTAGCACAGACTCCACACCCGGTTATGGAAGGGCTTTAGAGAAAACAAACATGGACTCATGAAGGCACAGGCTTTTAGTTTGGGGGGCTGGAAAAGAAGGAACAGAAAGTGAAGAACTAAACAGTATGAGGCAGCTAAGGAAAGACAGGATGGCAGGAAGATGGAAATAATTTTTGTAGCAAAGGCACCAGTTTTGGTAGTGAGAGCGTGTGGTGTCTGACATGAGCAAGACCGTTCACTTAAAATTGTTTCAGGTGGTCAGATCCAGCAGCAGCAGCAGCAGCTTTTTTAGCCTGTTTTCTGTTCATAAGAGCAAAACATCGTAGGAATCGTAAAGCAAGACTGATGTGCAGGATAATGACGTAAATTCTGCCATTTGAAAGTAAATGAGTACACAAATTGCGTAATACATAAAAACCTGAAAATATTTTTAAAAAGCACAAGATGCAGACTCAACTAATGTGAATTTATTTATACAAAAATGATACATATCCACAGGAATATTTACAACTTTAAACTGTTTTCATTTACAAAATAAAGATTCTATGCTTTCATTTGGACAGTACAATTTAGGACTGCGCCAGATAAAAGCCTATTTGGATGGTAAATACATGGGACAGCAGTTCTGGCAAACAAATGCATTGAATGTGTCTTTCCAAACATCTCTTTACATCATCAAGTAATCAAGTTTCCACACACAGAAAATACTTAGTAAATGTGTTCCTTAGCTGCTCAGATCCATTTGTTTTAAGTCCTTTGGGCACAGAAAAGTTTTTAAGTTAAAGAGAATTCAGCATCCTAGAATGGTTCATTTATCCAAGAATAAAGATGCTAGAACTAATATTCAATGCTAATGTTTGTCTCTCTACTAACCAATCTTTAATTATTAACTATAGATTCTTATAAGAGGTAGCCAGGTGTTTAAAAACTTCTGGTCTTGTTTTAGTGTTTAGTCAAATCAAGAAGTGAATACTTTACTTTCGATGGCAATGAATCAAAATGGGAGGTGAGCTGGAGAAACAGAGTAAGTTTGAAAAGGAACTCTCTGAAAACATTAAGAAAATGCCTATGTTGTGGGTTTTATGACACAAAGCACCAGTACTGGAGAAAGAGGAGAAGAAATATTCAAACATGTTTACAAAGACAATTTATTTTGCACAGACTAGGACTAGGATACGTGTACTGTTGTTTTTAAGGCTCCACTCCAATCTATTTCTGTCACAGAAAGATTTTTTTGATTGATCAAGTGCATCTGGAAGAAGTCCTCTGATTTTTACAGAACACTTTAAACTATTTTCTCACTCTGCACCAAATCCTTGAGAGGTAGTTGGACACCACACGAGGCAGAACTTGGGCACCTGATTCAGTATGTGTTTTGACTTTTATTGCTCTGTTTTGCAGCAGGGAGGTCAAAATCAAACCATAAATGGAAATTAAATTAGCTTGCTCCAAGCCACATTTCTGATTCATTTGCCGGTTCATGGCTTTCCATCTTAGTTGGTGTGCATTCCCTATAAAAATACTAAGAAGCTCTCCCCTTAGATAATACTATCTGGAAGAACCACATCACATCTGTGTTACATTGACACCAGTTCTGTTTCGAAGACAGTAAAAGAAAGCCATGTCCGAAATCACCCTGGAGAGACATGCTACATGGCTTCAGTCAGTAGCTGGTTTTGAAAATGAAGTAAAAGCCCTTTACCTATAACAAGAGAAAAATATTCATTTATCACATTTGTATTAAAATAAAAGAGAATAAAGGCTTTGATCAGAATCCCACTGAATTTCAAACATGATCTGGTCAAATCTCTAGTGTTCAGGAGGGAAGCCAGATCTACAGCCTTGAGTCCCTGATTCAGAAAGGTACTCAAATGCCTGAAGTCAGTGAAATTACTTGTATACTTACTATTAGGCATCAGGCTTCCAAGCCCACCACGAACTTAACAGAAGCTCTGGAAAATCAAGCTTCTTCAGAGCTTTGTTAGTATTTTAGACCTGATCTCGAGCTATTTGAGGGAATAAGAGAATTTTGGTTTGCATTTGCATCTTGGCCTTTCTGTGATGACCACTAACTATTCTACCATCTATTCTCTTTTCTTTGTGCGGCCACAGAATAGCTATTAACATGGATTCGAACTTTGAATTCAAAGTTAGTTGCTCTCCATTCTGTTACCACAACTAGCTTGATTCAGAGGACCACTGGGAAGTGTTTCATACAGTAAAATTAACTGGCTACATATGCGTTGCATTTGACATAAAAATGGCTTGCTTTCATAGTTCTAGTTCCATTTATGCTATTACAGTGTTAAAACATTTTCAAAAGTTAAGTAGAATAAATGCACCAGAATCATCAGTAATTATTTCTTAATGAGGTATACAGACAATTTTCTTAAAAATAAAAAAACCCTCACACACCTAAAACTGAATTGTATTGTAAAGTGTCGAACAGAACAAATCAGAGTGTAAACAAAAGGTATTTCAAAGAATGGTATACGTTTCAATGCCACCTGCACTAAAAAAGCTGTGTTGTCTTGGTATGGCAATTCCAGTTTAAACATAATGTTTAAATAGACAATTTAAAATTTTGAGAGGGGTGTGCATAAATTTGTTTAACATTCTTTGAACAATAGTTTATACAGTGTTTCATGCTCTGTACAGAACTCATTTGACACAAAGTCTTGAAACAAATAAGATATTTCACCTTTTCTCTGTATATCAAATATGTATTTTTTTACTCTGCTTTAAATTACTACTGGAAACATAAAAGAAAATACATCCTGCAATTGTTTGAAGATAACTCATTTAGTCTCTTTGGCATCTGTAGTACTGTAAAAGCTCGAGTGCCTTATCTCTGTAATTGCAAAGTCTGTTTTAAAATCTTTTTCCCTTTTCTCTTTTTTAATAATTGAGCTGTACTTTGCAATTGCTTCTGTCATACCGAATTTGTTGTACTGTTTTAATGTATTGGTATGCAAGATTTCAACTGCCACTGAAGGAAAGGAGCAGCAGTATTATACACCTTCTCATAAAGGAGTTAACATGGCCAACAAAGATCCAAAACCTTTGAAATTCCTATTCTGATCTGTTAGTGAGCATCAGCAACTCAAACGTGTACACAAATCATGAGGAACCGTACAACTGCAACAGATTTGTTTTGTGGTTTGTTTTTTTTTTAAAAAGGACAAACTTTAGGAATATGTTGACCAACTACCTGCCATTCTGAAGACGTGGGCACTTGGGACATCATAATAGGCCTCACAAATAATTCTGACCATTAAAGTAAACATTGGAATTTAATAAATAACACTTTTTTATTAACACAGAAATACACACAATTCTTTTTACCTTACACTAAAAACGCAACAACTCCTAATCCTGACAAATATACAATTTTGTGTAGGTTGAGACGGCAGGATTCCATTTCTGTGAACAGCTGCTGTTTTACCACCATCCTTGGACATTTTCCTTTAAACTTGCAGACGCGATGCTGACGCTGCTATAATATGGTGCCTTCTTGAAAAGCTTCTATCCACCTATTAGAAAATTCAACACTGTTAGGAAGCTGCTGGTAAAAGTATAAATCACATTGCTGTGATTAGCTACAGATTGACACAAGAAGTAACATCGTGCTTCCATTACCAGTTGGTCTGTTAGTGCAAATGCCAGAAATCTACCCAATTTGTCCAAACATCCAAAGTTTGCTAAAGACCTATTTTAGGTATCGGTACAAGTACTTTTTTTTTTTCCTGTACCTCTTCCATACTGAAGTTACACACATAAAGAACAAGTGAAGCTGGTAAATCAAATGCTCAAAAAGTAGGATATGCCAAGGTATCTGTGAAAATACAAGTATATGTAAAAGGGGGGAGGTGGGGAAGGAAGTGCCAAACAGCTGATCCGAGGTGTCTCAAACTGGAAATTCAAAGTTAACATTCAGATACTTTTACCTCCTATAGCTGTGGTTTCTGTTTCTACTTGATTACGAGGGTGATAAACATCCTCACCTTCTCAAGGATGCTGCAAAAATTAATGTTTCTGAAGCACTCAGATGCTACACTGACAAATAAAGTTAAAAAATAGAATAATTCTGTCTTCTGAGCTAAGTTGTGTGCATTTAAAGTTAAGGGGCCCACATACTGATTACTTTTTTTCCTGACTGAAAATCTTGCAAGAACTGAATGAGACAAAGACTGTAAAATCATCTTTGTCACGGAAATTCAAACCTGTCTTAGTATTCACAGGGTATGTACAAGTTAGTCACAGATGTTGGCTCACAAGGCTCTTCCTTGCCCTGAGCGTTTAAGTTGGTAACTGTGCTCATGTTTGTTGAATTTAAGCTTTCGGTATGAACATATTCAGCATGTGTAAATGCTTGTGCCCGCACATGCAACTCAGACTTCTATCCCTTAGTTTTTAGAGCTCACTCTATTTTCCACTGTCATTTAGTCACTAAAAATCACTAAAATAAAATGCAAATACAATGAATTCATACACAGTTTAAGCATTGAACGTAGTATTGGACCAACAAATTTCAAAGCTCATTAAAAAAGTAAACATCTGTTAACATTTGCTACTGTATTTACACATGCCATCAGATATTTCTTTGACCCTAGCAGGAAAAAATAGCATCCACTGATGAAAACAGGCCAAGAGCATGTTCTTTAAATTTTTCTTCTAATGCTATCAAAGCACCATTTATTCTGGAGGTTCAGCATAAATCTCCTAAGGATATTAAATACTTGGAGAAAGCTTGCAATCTGAGGTACTTAATGCTATTCCTAGCCTCAGTAAAACAGAGTGTGTCCAATTTCCAGTTTTCCTACTGATCACAAAAGCCATTGTCTGAATAGAAAAACAGAGCCATTGAATGCCTTGGATTTGGGGTTTTTTTTAAGTTTTCCTTTATATAGTACAAATGAGGACACAGTGAAAACAAGAGAATAGTATCTTAATTAACAAAGAAACATTTGTGTGCGTCTGCAAGACAAAATACCCCCCAAAAATCAAATAAAGACTTCCAGATTTTGTTTATAGGGAAGTGTCATTAAGCACATTCTCAGCTGCTCAAAATTTTCAGTTGTCCTGGGTACTTTGTTTTTTTAGAATATCCCTATTTGCACAAAACCATACCTGCAGCCATTTGAATGGTTAACTATTAATAATGGACTAGTTAGCACATTAAATCTATTTTATTAATGTAAAATTCATTTGGGAAAGTGGCAGTGAAACCAACCAGATAAACTAGGCATATAGGCAAGATAATTCAAATACATCGCTTCCATGCTCATTTCTAGTTTACTCCATGATTCTTACAGCAAATGTTTTCTCCTGATGAATAACCAAGCTTCTAGATTATTTTATGTAAAACACACACAATGCATAAATGGATAAATATGACTCCAAACTCAGACACAGCAGCAGGACTTGAAATGAAACAGCTTGTGTGAGTGTTCTTTGAATTCAGGCTTTTGGTCTGAACATAGTAAGCATGCCTAGGTGCGCAGGCACATCCGCACACACTTCAAACTTCTGTCTCTTTTTAGGGTTTTGCTTTACTTCTCATTGCAATATATTCATTAAAAATAGCTGAAAAAAAGGGACACATCAGTTAATTCTTAAAACATATTTTCCAGATTTCTCCAAAGGTAACATTCAATTTTCACTTCCGCAGACCAAGGACAGAGGAATGGGCTAGGAAAAAAGAAAGATTTCTTATTTCATCTTAGACTTTTCCATTCTCTTACATTAATTCTTTTGCCGAGGACAGTCTGCTTCTTCATTTAAAGCATTTCAGAAGTCCTAATCAAACCAGGGCCTTGTGTTTAAGTAATTTAAAAGTTTTATTTACATATTATTAGTATTTACATAATATGCCTCTTTTGTACATATGGTTAATCTGTGAATATTAACATTCATTACTTCTGAAACATTAAAAAAAATTAATTCAAATAGTTTCTTACTTTTGAGCTGAATGAGGATCATCTGCTTTGAATATGTAAAATAAAGTGTTTTTGTGCAGTAAATGGAACACTCTAGACTCTGAGTTTTCATCTTTTACTTCACTGACAGTGAATCCAAGTAAAGGCTGGCTCTCTAATGCTGCCACATCCTATTTTATAGGGGAAAAAGCAAACAAGACAAAATTAGAGCTTCTGAGACACACTAAGGAATGCATTTAGACTTTACTCATGCACCATACCATTGCAACAGATCATACAACAGACAAGTTGTTACCAATAGTCATGCACAAAATGCCGCTTTTTATAGTCTCCATGCGTGAATCAGGGGACAGGAAATAACAAAACCTTGCAGACTTCAACATTGCCGTTCCTCTTTTTATCTCCCTGATAACATCTCCCTTGTCTTTCACTGTACAGACTCATCCTTCTGCCTGGTAAGGACTTCTGATATCGAAAGATCGACTGCCCCTCAGCAGCAGACCAAAGGTCCCACACTAGCCCAGTGCTCGCTCCAGCAACCTTAGTAGTGAGTTTGCATGTCTTAGAAGCAGTATGGGATCCTACAGCTGCACTGAGCGTGCTAAAAGGAGCAGCTATGGATGTAACTATATTCTCAAGCACTGGAGTCACTCTCTAAATGCTTTTCATGGCTAAACTTATTTTGCTTTCTGCTGATGAAAACAGGATAGGGAAAAAAAGTTGCTGAATGTTCACAAGTGGTTGTCTAGGACAATGTAGCAAGATAAGCTGTACCTTTTTATTTTCTTTTCATTTAATTTCAAAACCTGGCTAAAAAGGCAACCTTTTCCTTTCCTCATTCATCTCAGTTACTTCCTTTTTTTATACTCTTGTCTTTTAATTAATAAATACAATGCACAGCATTTTCAGAAGCAGGGGGGAAGGAAGTATTTTCACCCTCTGCAAGTTCCAAAGTAGTGTTTTGTAACTACACAAAGTCCTGCAATGCTTCTGGATAGAAAAAATAAACAAAGAATGTACGTAGACACTGACACAAGGTGAAAAGCTCTACATTGAAAGAAGAGTATCCTGTGAAAGCAGCACTTTTATATATTGGAAAATAGTCAAGTAAGGCTGTTTTATTATCTGTTATAATAAAACAATCCGTTTTATTTTCTTTAGTCTTTGTACCACTAATAAGTAGTCTTTTTACCACTAATCTTTATATCACTTGGAACCAATATAAGGAGCTTAAGTAAGGTTTCCTGGCTAAGGCCACACTGGGCCTTCCCTTGAGACTCTCTAAACAATGTCTCCTGTAATGGCTCATCAAGGTGAAAAATCAGGACAGATATTCCTTAATTTAAAGAAAATAGGAAAGAGTTAATTTTGTGATTGTGAGTGGCAAAGTGAAGCTACTCTGGAAGGCTGGTATCTCAGAGGAAGCCAAGCAAAAGAAAATTTAAGGTGACTTGTCATAGACTAATCATATGCCTTTTCTTTGCAACTGCCAGAAGAGATACAATGCTCTAAAATATTTTTTAAATCTGTGCAAAAGTTTGTACTTTTTTTTTTTTTACTATTGCCAATGCTGTGGTGGAAATAACATCACAAGTTCTGGACATAATTCAGAAGTGCTAAAATAAAGGTTGCACTATAGCAGGAAAAACCCAGGAACAAATCTGAGCACAAACCAGCCAAATAACTAGAGTGGAGGTGGCGTGGAAGTGAAGGGTAATTCTTTAGACTGTCAGGATAGGTTAGGCCTTACATTTTGAAAGAAAGTGAGAGACAGCAATACCTTTAAACAGATACTTTGGCTATTTTGCTTTTGAAAGCTATTAGTAAAACATAACATGTAATACAAAAAAAACAAAACCCAACATTGTCCCACACTACAATACATCCATATGTGTTGCAAAACATTATAAGATACAATAAAACTACATCCTCAGCACATGCTGGGATTTGCAGAGCTTATATAAATATATATATATATTGGTTAGAGATTATTCCACACTGCAATAGGACTATACAGTCTAAATAAAAAAGCAAATTCCATTAGACAAGACACATTTCTTATTTTCAACTGTATATTAAATAGTAACTCCAGGCTGAAGACGACAGTTTGAGGAGAAGTCAAGAGATTTAGTCTGTTTATTTTCCAAGCATTCAAAATACCTTAGGGAACTGCAGAATAAACCATTTCAAGATGCTTTTATAATGTTGGCTTTGCCACAAGTCCAGTGCGATGCATTTACAGAGACCCCCATTTATTCGATTGACTCAGAACATACCTACAACTGTGCAATGGTGAGCAGTGCAGAGATACTCAAAGCTAGGTCTGGAACCAGAAACAGCATAGCTATATCAGCATATTATGGTACCAAGCTCACTGGGCCTTTTCAAAATACTACATCACAATCAGATCCATTACTGTAAGGTGATCTAACTTTATAGTGTGTTTCTAGATCGTAAAAATAAACAACAATTTTGTTACAAATACAGTATTATCATTGGATATTTAATTTATAATATGTAGGCTCTTACCTCACTAGCAGCATATGTGTATAGCACCTTATTTTTTATAACAAACCATAGATGTTTCCATGGTTTCTTACTGCCCTTAGATCTGTGTAGGTAGCCACTCATTGTAGAGTCTTCTGTATTTGCTGAAACCTGAAGCAAAAAAATAACCCAATGCACAAGAGTTATGCATCTGTCCAGGTTTTGACAGTACAGCTTTTTTAAAACAGGTCTTCAGAAATCTGTTCTGTCAAAGACTCAGATTCTAACCTGATGTCAAGTTAATGTTGCTAATTAACTCAGATGGCTGAAAGAATAAGTATTTTGTCTGCTACCATTTATCTGGTCTGGAGGACGGGTTTCTGCAGTCGCTAGCTTAAATCAGATGCAACAGGACAAGAAAGGGCTGAAACAGGACCACATACAGCTGGAGAACACACATTCCTATATAAGAAGAAAAATTACTTCCTCCCATTCCCAAGACCTCCAGTGTAGGTAGGCAGAGCTTAGCTCTACCTTTCCTAATCATAAACCAAGAGCAGAGTTGGTGTAGGAGCCTTCTCACTGACCACTGGTACAGAGGTAAATCGCAATTCCTCTAAATACAGGGAAGCAAGAACAAGATGACACTTCCAACTATCTCTCTGAATCACAGTCTCACAGGTGTTTACGCAGCTCATATGCTGCTTCATGGTTCAGGTCCCTGACTTGATAAAAACTAAGGCCCAAATCACTGTTACAGGCAAATTTCAACTTTTGATTCTAGAAAAGGTGGCTAAAATATAGAATTTTTTCATTGTTAATACTGATGATGCAATCCCAACAGGACATTACTTTTGACCAATAAGGCACTTACTTCTTTGAGGGCTGCAGGAATTTTTTTCTGCTTCCTTCCAGAGGGAATACTATGTAACACTGTAGACAAGGCACTTGATGAGGATTTATGGTTGACTGGAGATGCGCTCTTAGCAGTGCACTGGTTATCTGAAATGCATAGGATGAATATATTGCTTTCATGTCACAGATGACTAGACACGGGCAATGATTCTTGGACAGTTTTTCTTAAAAACAGCTGACATTTTAATTCTGATTACAGTGTTTCAATAACAACACCTACCCACATTAAATTCAGTGTTGAATTAACTTTTCAGTATTATAATCAACACCATGAGTTAGAATCCCCGAAATTACAATCAGACTAAAAATGCACGAGAAATTTAAAACTGAACAGATTGGTCCTGTTTGTTTTCAACATTTGTTTTCTTAACATTGAACTACCTTTGCCCATAAGCAGGGTGAAAAATAGGTCTTAAAAACCACACCAAATTTTCAGACCTGTCCTCTGCAGTTCAGTCTGATCTTCACCTCTGTTTCTCAACTCTGTCTTTCAGTTCTATGTATCTGTTATCGTCTCAGCTTTTTTCAGTATGGATGCTGTAGACCTTCTCTTCAACATCACACCATCACACACACTTCTGGAGCTTCCCATCTCCAGAGCACATGCTGTCTTTCTCCACTCCCAGCACTAGTCCCTTCATCTCTCCTGGAAGACTTCTGCAACACTCCACTCCATTAAAACCCCCTGTCCCAGAAACACTCGCCACTAATTTACAGCCCAGCCTGGAAGGAGTAGGGCTGCCCTAAGCTTCGTTAACCTCCATTCTAGAGTTGTCCCTGAACACAGTGAGGCTCTGAAATAACGAGCAGAGCAAGAGAGTAATTGGATTGCCAGCTGTACTATGTGTATCTGCTCTGCAGCTCTTTCCCAGCTAAAATCACCTTCCATTGCCTGCAGCACAGCAGCCTCTAGTGTCTAATGCAGAGCCCTGCAGGTGGTCCAGGCAATCCATCTTCCTCATCCTTGCATGCTCCCACCACCACTTCAAGGGTTGCTGATGCTGCTTTCCACATGTCCATAAAAAATGCCACTCCCAGCATACTGAAAGCCATAGCTTGATTATTTTACTGGGGCATCATAGATTTCCTAATACCCTAAGAGAGTTTGTGTCAAACCAGACTATCTGCCAGAAGGAAGGGCAGCAAACTGTCTCAGTCCTTGCTTATGGCTCATTTATGTAGTATTTGATACTAGAACCTTTGGACCAAATTCAGAACAAGTATTGTGAGATGGGACCCGATTCCCACCTCACTGGGAGGTGCCCCCGTTGATTTTACATTCACTTCTGCATAATTATGTGAAGCTCCTTCAAAGAGATGGATTTGAGTTCTCTCAGAATGAGAAGGAAACTGACCCTCTAAGCAAATGTTATTACCATCGTGCATCACTGAAAGTGTTTCAATGAAAAACAGTTCTAGCGATGGTGTTTTACACTGAAATCCATGTTGCTGGTGTGCAGTAGGCAACCGTTAAGAGTTTGCCCTCAGAACCTGAGGTGCAGATATGTTAACTTCTTGAATTCCAGATGAGCCAAGGCTTGAGGCTGAAGAGACTCAGCTTCAGTGAGATGAAGGCCTGTGTCTTTGCAGAGCCCCAGGACTTCAGCTATCTCAGCAGCTTAGCTGGCAAAAATGAAGTTTACAGGCATACAAGTTTCAGAGAGTAAAAGTACACATGAACCCACTGGGAGGTCATGATCAGCTGCAAGGACTTTAATGTACACCTGTACCCTGTGATTAATGAAAAGCAATGCAACAGTAGGTATCCCAAAAAGAAAGCAGCACAAGCTACGTGTCATTATTGTAAGGCAAATGTGTGTGTGTTTCTGGAAGGAGGAGCCAACATATTGCAAATTCACTTCCTAGCTGACTCCACAGAGACTTGGTTTGGCCTCTTACAACCTCAGATGCCGATCGCTTTTCAGGCACTGGCAGAATTAGGCACTTGAATCCAGCAGTAAAGATGAGGCACAGACATACCATGTTAATAAGGGCCACAAAAATAAGACAGATTGTGCAGACTTTCTTTACCTTGTTTCTGTAGCTCCCTGAAGCAATGGTCACATACTCTTGCTGGCTGGTTTTTCATATAGTCTAAACCATGTTTATTTGATGAACAAGCTTGACAGACAATCTGGAAACAGATAAAAACATTATTGTATGTGACGTGCGCCTGTAAATCACCAAATGCTTAAAAACATTCACTTCAGTACTGTTAAGCCCGTAACAGAACCTGAAATAGGCACTATTTTACATTGAAAATGGTTTAAGATCTTTGCTTTTCCTTATGTTCAACATGCTGATCTTTTCTCTTCGAAATGATAAAAATTTAAATAGAAAAAAAAATCACTGAACTGTGCAAGTCAATAAGCCAATGTTACCAATCCATGAGAAGTAGAATAAGCCTACTGTGTTGAACAGTTCCGCAGAACTGTTAAAATCATAAGCTTTTAAAGGAATAACTAAAAATAGCCATTGCTCTCTTGACAATTTCTCCACAACACAGATGTCTCAGCTGCATTGAATTCTGCATTCAATAAGTTAACCATAAGTTTGGTACTAACTTAAAAACAAAATCATTATTTATCTTACGTAAATTAGTGAGGAAGATACTTTTCTCATTTCAGCTAACATTCTTTGTTTGTACTACATAATTGCAGAAGCAGAAGACAACCATAAATAGTACTCCAAAATGCAAAATTAGAAACATGTAACAGGTTAAAAGGTTGAAAACTGGTCTGTCATCACACCTTGCTCTAAAAAAAACCCAAACCAAACAACCCAAGTGTCGTTTTTATTCCATGTAATTGTGTCACAGTACAGTGTTCCCTTAAAAGAGTGGTTGTGGTGCAATCAGGCTCCACCCGCATTTGTCACACAAAGAGCCTGAATGACTAACGGGAAAAGGTAATCACAAAATTGCCCAACCTTTCCGCATGCCCTGCAGTGATGCCTTCTCCACGTCAATGTGAATTCACTGGTACAGATCATACACATAGTGGCTCGTGTATCGGGGATCCAGATCGGAGCCTTTGATCCCAACGGACTGTCTTCTTCCTGTTTCTCTGAATCTGCCTGAGAGAACATAGGCAGAATACCATTACATTCAGGGATGAGAAAGGAGATTAATATTTTTCAGTCATCACAGGTTAATTATGTTGGAAAGCCTTCTCTGATAAATTGTCATGGTCTTAAATCTCATCTGCTCTTTCATCAGTGACCATTTAATGCAAACCTGGAGACAGAGCTACATTTAATTTGCCCAAACAGGCTGTGTGACTTTCAAGCTTTACCAGCCTATTTATATCAATAGCTGCTATATTTTAAAAATCTTTCTGTTCCCTAGATTACCGAGAGAATTGAGAAAGCTGGTTTGGTTTTTTTGGAAAGAAATAATTTTACATTTATGAAGTAGATAACATTATGAAATATCATTCTGTTCACTTATCATTTACCATCCTGTTCTAGTGGTCATCATGGAATGCCTCGTTTCTCTAAACCCCTGCAAAGAAACTTTATATTCAAAAAGGGAACAAACCAACAATATTGGTGTGATATACCTCTTCAAGACTTTTGCTAGGATTAAATGTGATTCTCTTTTTTGTATATTCTTCAATTGACTTGGAGATAGCTTCTAACCACTCATCTCTTTCTGTAGCAGAACTGTTGGAGTAAAAATAATATATTATTATTAACATTTAAAATTAAGAAACAAGTGTTGATTAGAATTCCATTAGCTGTATTACACTTAACTCTGTTGCAATTTCAGTTTTAGAGGCCATCTCCAGTTCCTACTGAAACTAGCACACCCCTGCTTTCGTGTAATATAAACTCATGCTGCTGCTGCTGCAAAGGGTGGCCTACTACACTCCCGCTCAGCCACTACCAACCTACCAACTATTTTTTATCCCCCACTTCTTAAATAGTATCAAATAAATTAATTTGTTTAAACCAAGGAACTGAACATGAATATATGAAAAGGAAAGTTAGGGAAGAAGAAAGCAATGATTTACATGAATTAGGTGTGCAACACCAATTATTGTTTAATGGCTTTTGTAGGTGAATTTGGAAGCTTTGATCATCTTCGAACCTTTAAGGAAAATACTTTGAGCCAGGGTTTTGAACTGGATTAAACTGAGTACTATAGAGAATCAGAGAGGACAAATCTGGTAAGGTAAACATGGGGGAAACCTGTGAGGCACCAGGGGAAAAAAAAAAAATCTAGCGCACACAGCAACAAAATCAGAACAAAAGGAGAGGAAATAAGATACAGGCAAGGGCAAAGCAATGTTTTATTGTCGGTCCCAGTACCTCACACTCTGAGTGGAACATTTTGTTCAGTTTATTTACCTTTGCCTCCCCATCTGGTGAGAGCAACTGGGCTGCATTAGCTATGTAACATTCATAACCCTAATCAACTCTTTTGGCTTTTTCAAAACCCAGTTACATTTAATGAGGTTCCTAAAACTATAATAAATAATTAAATTTAAAGTTTGCACAGTTTTTGGAGATTAAGCATCCCCCAGTCATGTGGGGACTGCTACACATAGAGCTGCTTGCACAGGCAGCTACGTTGCTTACACCGTAATATTTCAGTAGAGAGCTCGCACTTTGTATGTTCGCTGGTGCTAGCCTTCAGGGTTGTTTACAATCCTTCAGAGCCCAAGAGCAAAGGCACTGAACTGATGTAATGGTTTGCTGCAGCAAAATAGGCAGTGTTTCCTCTGCTGTCACTCCCCGCCCTCCCCCACAGCTGCACAGCCCTAGCACTTCCCTTGTCGCAGGTCCAGTTGCATCTTTCCAAAAGTCATTTTGTTTACTGAAATTGCAGCATTTTCCTAGGGTTTTTAAACTTTTTTTAAAAAGTATGTATTTAAGATTTAACATAACATTAGAAACCTTTAAATGGACTGCAGAGAGAGACCCTGCAATTGTTACTGGTGGCAAATGCGTGTGCTAGGGGCACATGTCGCAGCTGCCCAAGGGAGCCAAGCAGCTCAGTGGTCCCAGGAGGGTTCCCAGAAGAAGGACCCTGTTGTTCCAGTGCCTTAGGGCACCTCTCCCAGCTGAGCTTGTCTTGCATCAGGCATCATTACCTTAGAGGAGGCGACGCAGCTATGTCTGCCTTGGGTAGCTCCTCGTTAGCCTTATTGAGGGGTATGGGGCCAGCTGGCCTCAGATCACATCAGGCTGGCACTGCTGTTGTTTTCAGGACTAAAGCTTTACTTCTGCACAGTGCTGCATCGTGCAGATGCGCTAACTTGTTTCTCTGATTAAGAGATTCCTCGTACAATACAGCATTGTACCATGTAAAACAATACACATTCCTACAGATAGATCAGGAAAACTGAGACCTCAACCCAGACCAGATAAAACAGAGTACTAATGCAGTCAGTAAAAGTAAACCTGAAGTGACAAAGACTCTTGTTTAGGCATTAATCTAGACTTCTGTTATTAACTGGCTTACATTTTACTCCTAACAATTTTTCACCAGCTTAATTGCTCCCTTCCCTGTCTCCACTCCTAAGATCTTTTCAGAATCTCTACTTTGGTGTACACTCCACATAATGCTTATTATTTGAAAAAACACAGAAGTGAAATTTATCTCCAATGTCTGTAAGATTAATTTGAACAGTTTTGCAATTTAGATTTGTACCACATAGAAGCCAAGAAGCTGTTAGAATGAAGTATCATCAAAAGGAAGAATCAATCTGGATTGACAAGATACGGATTCTCTTCACATCCAAGATATTTATCAACAGGAACAATATAATTTATTGGGAAAAAAAATATATGTGCAAGCATCTATTGCTGATAGTTTTTCATTTATTTCCCTCCTACACCACAACAGACCCAGGCCTCACTTACAGATGGAAAACAAATGGAAAAATCCTCATTTACACCTGGGGCTCCCCAGCATCTCCTTCATCCCAAGCAAATGCAGCCTCTCTCTGTCAGTGTTGTGTAACTTAGGGCTCCTGCACAAACATAGTTTCCAGCAAGTATAATAATAACAGAACTGAATGCTCTCCAAAGATGCCAGATTATCAACACTAAAAAAGAGTGTGCAAATCAGGGCAGCTTTCATTGATAATGCAAGGGTAATGCCAGTAATTTCAAGGTCAAGGCAAAACCATATCACAAACTCCGCCCAATTTGATGAGAATCTTGTATTATAGTGGTTTCCCCCTATGGACCAGCATATATTTCAGAGGAGTTGCTTTTAAGCTACCACTTAATCAGTTCCTCAAAAAGACAAGTCTATTTTGTCTTGTGGAAAACAGGTAAGTCGTATTTCAAGATGATAGTGTTTTCACAAGTTCCAACGGTTTTTTTACTTTTTTTTTTTTTTAAAGTCAAGCAGAGATAAATACCTTCATGTATCTGTGCGACACCCAATCAACAAGGCACCTAAGCAGCACAGACCTGCTCAAATTATACTGGAGCAGAATCATACCCTAAAGTGTGAAATGCATCTTTTGTTCCTAATGTGCAGAACAGCCAGAAGAAATTTTTAGATTTGTTGAAAACATAAAACCTCACTCCTTTCAAGTCTGTTGTTATAAATAACTCCTGCTAAGACAATTGAGCTACTTCCTTTGGCTATTTTGACAAGGTTAACCTTGGGCTACCCTTAAGCTAGAGATATTGCTATCTTCGTGCAGACATCCTCATGTCGGTATTTACAAGGTCACACAAAAAGCAGCAGTCTGCCCTTACTCAGCTTTGCTAAACAAAAGAGAAAATATGTCTGTCTTCATTGGTATCAGCACTGTCACAAACGTCAGAACGTATAAAACTCTAACTCAAGCACAGTAAAAACAACAATCCACAAAACCAGGTCTTTGCTACAGGCATCTTGGTGAAGGCAGATCAGAGTTGCTCTGGTTTAGTGGCCATGTATCCTTTTGCTGCTACCTGGAGAGTTTGGTTTTCTGGGAAAGACACCATTCCAGTAACTGCTGCCATTTCCATCATTTCAGGTTCACTGAGACCTAGATGACTTCTTCCAATTTATATCAGTTACCAGTAATAATATCAAAATGTATTATCATGCTTCATATCCTGTCCTGTTAATGCACTGACAGAGCATATCAGTAACTGTAGAAGAACAAAAAAATACTGAAAAGCAAAGCCTAAAATTAATTTAATTGAAACAATTATAATTCCTCGTCCTCTCAAGGTAAGGCAGAACTTAAAGTTTCTGAAGGTGTAGCTAAACTGAAAAGAAGGAGTCAAGCAAGAGTTTTATTCACTCTGATTAACTGTTAACTGTCTTGAAGACAGCAGAAACCCTATCAGCTGCAGTCTTAAACCCAAATACCAGCCACATGTACTATAGCTTTTGTGCTTCTGTCCATCACTTCACAAGGGGCAATCTTCCTTACAAGTCTTCCTTATAAGTCAGGGCAAACTGTATTAGAGATAACAAATTCATATGGTATCTGTGAAACTTATTACAAGTGACCAGGCTTTCTTTCTGTCAGCCCACTTCAAAACAAGCTTAAATTTTCCAAATCAGATTTTGAATGTGAACAAAAGTAAATGAGAACAAAGCCAACCCTATTTCCAGAACCCCATCTTTCACTCCCTCTATTCTGTAGTTACTCTAGCCAAGGGTAACTTTTCATTACGTAAATGCAAAATAAGCTATAAAAAGCTTACATGGCCTGTTTGAAACCACAGGGTTTTAAAATCATTATTCATTGGTAAGACTTACCTTGCTGAAAGAATGAAGGATCTCTCTACACTTTCAATGTTCAGTTCATTCTGATATGCTTCCTGGGTTGGCTTTTTAACCTTCAGTTGAGAGAGAAAACTTGACATTCAAACTGAAATGGTACTTGTATAGTTGCTTTAGTTTTACCTACTATAACATTTCTTACATTTTTATTGCAGAAGGGGTACATTGGAGAGACATATCTCAAAAGTAGGAGATCATACGCCAGTTCAGAGCGCCCAGCTACACTAAGATTACATGTAGCCCACCATTTTATTTCACTGTGGCCTGATACAAACACCAGATACAAACACCATTCCTCTGTAGAGGAATGAAGCTCAAGAGTTGGCAGACACCTCTGGCTGTGCCCAGGCTGGTTGTCCTCTAAGCATTTCCTGCAACTGGGCACAAAAAGGCACTGCTGCTGCTGCAGGACAAGATGTTCCTACACGTGTATCCCAGAGCAGGCATCTGCCCCATACCTCCAAGGGCTGGACCACCCTGTGGATCCCTTCTGAGCTACCAAGTTTCAAAAATAAGAAGGTTTAAAAGTTAAAGAGTTGTTCTGAGCCACCACAAGACATTTACTGGCAGAAGAGATTTTGTAGCTCTGCCTTGTGAAAGCTTGGACCTAGGCACCAGATCTGTGCTGCAGCTGGACTTGGTGCTTTTCTCTGACAGGAATCAAGATGAGATACAGGATCCCCAAGGCAATGGTTTGTTGTTTCCACTGTCATGTCAAAGACTGTGTCAACATATGGCGTGCATGACCCCATAACTTCCTAGAGGGGCTCAGGGCTTAACTTTGATACTTTTCACAAAGCCTTACAAACAAAAAGCTGTCATCTCCCCTCACAGTTAGCAGATCTCTATAAACCAGAGAGATCTGATCCACCAGAAGCTTACCAGGCAGAGATGCCCCATCTCTGGGTGTGGGTGATAAAAACCAGTTACAAGGCAATAGTGAAACAGTCTAAACAAAATACAATACAAAAAATAAGCAGGCAGACTATTTCAGAGTAGGCCAATACTAGATGAAATGCAAGTGAGGTGATCCTGTGGCAACAGTGTTTTTTAGGAAAACTCAAGACAGCAATCCCACAGGTCATACTATGCAAGAAACACTAAGACTGTAGGATTCCTCTGTAACATAAGCATCTTGAATATCCCTTTCCAATGGCAAACATAGTCGTGTTTTGAAACTTTGAAGGCCTACGTTCAAACAGAATTGGAGAAAGACTAATTTTAACAAGTGGCTCACCTTCATTCCAGCCAACGACAGCATGTTGTTGAGTTTATACATCCCTGACTGAACTGGAGTAGTATACAACAGAGCATCATTGAACTGTAAAATAGAAGCAAAGCTTTTTAATGACTAAAGACTGCTTACAGATAGATAATTTCAGAAGCATTTTACTGGAAGTACAGAACTCATACAGCACTGAGATCCAGAAGGATCAGGATGTCCAGAAGGGCATCTTCTACTTCCTATTATTCCACTTGAAATCCAAGAAACATTTTCATGTATGAATTTAGATAACAATAGGTGTCTGTCTATATTCTCCTCCTTGTGTAAATGTACATTTGGCACATGAGTAAACAGCACATGGATGTCAAAGAACAGGCTGTCAAAAAGGACATAGTTACACTCTATAACAAACGACTTTAAAAGGATATTAGAATTCACCATTCAAAGCAAGCAAAACATTCCAGAAACTCGGCGATAGAAAAATTGAGACGAGCAATTTATAAGGTCAAACTTATCCATATGTACCATGTGAATTGTACCAGTTTAAATGTGCATCTACTGTTTAATTCCTGTTCTACCAGACTTGGCTTCATTCTCTGCATGTACTGAACAGCTATTAAGACTTCTTTTATTTTCTGTATTGTTTAACACATGGATCCAAACTTTATTTACTGCATGTAGATACAGACTAGTTTTTGCTATGATGTTCTTTGCCAAATAACCAAATGTTTCACAAGCCTTACTAAATCTTCACAACAAGGCCAATTGAAAAAATCACTGTTTAAGTGTCTAAAGGTATAAATGCTAGCCTGCACCTTTTGTATCTTAAAAAAACCCAACCAACCAAACCCCACCACCACACAAAACGAAACAGTGAAAATCTGAGCTAGAGTGACTTAAATTAGTAACATCTGATTTGGAAAGTCCAGCTCAAGATAGTACCAGATTTCTGCGAGTATTAACCTTAACTGATTATCATTTGCAATTATACCAGTGCTTTATATGCTACAAAGTCCTCTCCAGAGCACAGGACAGGCACTTGCAAGCTTAGAAAGCATACTGCATGACTGCCTAGGGAAAGCTTTATTTGTACTACAGTAACTACAAGACAGATTTCAGCCAAGACTGTGGACGAATAATGCCACAAATTACACATGCAACAGTTGCTTTACTGTCTAAACAGAAGAGATAAACAAAAGGTTCAAGTGGAAACAGAAACTTCAGAGATGCACAGAGGTTTCAGGAAAAAAAAAACCAACAAAAAAACAAACCTAAAACCCCCCAACAACAGTAGCAGAGACAGGAAAAGAACTCAGCACTTAACTTCCAGCCCAGGGCTTTGCTCAGGATGCAAGCAGGTTCATGCAGAGGAAGGAGAGGAGGAGGATTTTTGCACTACCACAGATAATGTCTGTCTCATGAAAGCGCTCAAGTTTTAAATAAGCATCATTCAAAACAGTACATCTTAGTGTGAAATGGTTTTCTATTAAAAAGAGTGCATATGCAAGAGATGATGTCTCTAAATTAGAGCTGAGCAAGTAGAACAGCAACAACTGGTCATTTTTTCTACTACCTGAAGTTATTGGTTACTTATGTTTGCAGTGTAGTTTCAACATACACAGCATCTTACCAGAAAAAACATTCGTGGCTGCATGACCTTCCGGGACAGCTTCATCAGTGTTCCCTCTTTCAGAAAGACCTAGCAAATTAAAACAGGCAATTAAAAATCTAGCTTTTCAGGGCACAAGCCACACTAATGAGCATTTTCATCATTATTATTAGTAGTACACTCGAAGTGCTGCAGAAGTTTTGGGATTCAAGGTTCCATTACTGAGAAATGCTGTTTATCCTTACATTTCTCTAAAAGTAAGTGCAAATGGCTGCACTACATTTTTCCATGCTGCACTTGAAACCATGACAAATATAAAAAAATATACAAATATAATATATAAATATAAGCCTGAGGGTAAAAAAACCCTGCCTGAAAGATCTGGCAAGGAATCATATTCTAAAAATCGTAAGTTTTCATCAGATAAATGTCTGAAAACAAAACAAAACAAAACCACATAAGAGGATGCAGTCTTCATTTGACTGTTAGAACCAAGTAATGAAGCGATGGACCATTTTTATTCTCAGTATATGCCAGCTTCAGTATTTTGCTTGCACATCATCTGTGCTGCACTTTTACTGCAATCTGCTGAATGCCATCTGGAGGACCTACCCTTCCTGGCTGCACAATCTCATGGTGTCCATTTAAACTGTACTGAATCTGCATGAGTTTCTGAAAGTTATCCTACAGGGAGAAAAAGCGAAAGGTAAGTAATTGCCCTTGCATCCATGACTTTATTTTTCTTTTTAAAAGAGACAAAGCTTTAATCAACCAACTTCATAAGTCAAAATACTTACTCCCTGCTTCATGATGTCGTTGGCATGGTTTGCAACTTCTATGACAACAGCTAGAGCATCTGAAGGATGAAGAAATGATGGTTTTGTTAGCCTTGGTATTATGTGAAGCACAGGTACAATATTGCTTTTCCACATCATGCCAAGAATCAAGGACCTGATTACAGTCACTGCATTCAGAAGTAATTCCCATAAATCTCTAAAGTCTTTGGATTATGGTTTAATAAGTGTGCCCTAGCAAGTCACTGCTTCACTCAACAGTGTCAATCATTTCTTGCAGTTAATCAAAAGAGTCCACAAGCAAAATAAAATCTTCCTTTCTCACACAAAGAATTACTTTAATTTCAGTGTCTCTACTTAGAGCAGAAAAGTAAACAACATTTTAGCTGAGACTATGTAGAGATTAAGTTTTTCCCATTTTACACAACTCTCTCCAGTGCCAGTCATGGAAGACTACCTAGAAAAATCATCCAAATTTTTGTGATTTCTTTCTTCTGCCTTTAGTTTTGCTGCACCTCAAGATATAAGTATAAAGTTAAAATTTCTAAATTACAAACTTTTAATACCAGAAAGAAGAAAAAAAAATTGCTGAAAGAGAAGAGCTACTGAAGACAAGGGATTTTATTAAGTACTGATATTTAATAACTAGCAACTTGATTGAATACATGCTAAGGTGTAACTGCGAAAATGGGCTACATAAAAAGATTGTGTAAATTACTGAACAGTGAGTGTATACGAGACAGAACCCATCCAAGGGTCTTATCTGAAAACCTGTGATTTACTTAAGTAGAAAAAGGAGACTCATTTAATTGAAAGCTAGAGAATAATAGCTCTAATAAAATGTAGTCTAAAGCACTTAGCACCTTCTGAGTAATTGAAGTGCACTCAGGCAGTCCAAATAAAGGAACCATATTTGCCTAAAAAGCTACAGAGAAGCCTACCAAACCAGGTAAAATCAAAGCCTTGTGCTTTTTCTCCAGATAATCACCACAGTATTGGTACTGTAGAATGTATACACTTCCCCTATAGTTGAGTCCATATTGAGAAAGAAAGGATGTTAAAAGATACAGCTTTCTAAGCTGAAAGGTTCAGAAGGTCATGAAGCCATATAAGAAACTAAACTGAGGTGTGAACAAAAAGCTCCTCTTAAATCAATCTAAGGAGAGCTTTTGTTCAAGATTCTCATGAAACAAGACAATGCAAGCACTGGAGTAAAACAGCTAAAAAGCACAGCACGTATCAAGCATTTTATCAAAAATTAAGTTTAGATATAGATGTCATGATGTCAACTAAGCCTGCTGAAAAATAGCTGGTGGTCTCCTACTGGAAATGTGGGAGTTGCTCCAGCCAAAACACTCCCAAGCTCCCATCCACTTTAATGAAAATGAAGGGAAATTTAGCTAAATTCACAAAGACAGGAATGAGTACTTGAATTTTTTGTTATACTTTCCTTCATCTATCTATCTATCTATAGCTATTATATCTACTAAAAACTTAAAATTTCACTCATTGACTTAAAGAAAGATTGAAGAACGTCGGAAAAATCTGATGGTTATTGAAGGGAACTTCCGGGATCTCAGGGCTACTTACAGAGCCAAGACTAAATGAATCTAAACAACCACATAGAATGATCTATAGGGTCAAAGTCCATAAAGTTTTTTTTTGGCAGGGAAGCATTTCAGTTCTTATGCCACTTCACTGGACTAATATATTCAAATGAAGGTCATCAGGAAGAATTGTGTTTGAGGTTTTTTTCCACAAGAATATTAACCATAAGCAAACCTAGTCTTCCTTCCCCACAACAGAACTAAGCAAAGTCAGAACTAAGTTACACTTAATTATCACAAGAAAGATCCCAGCAAGTAAAGATTAGGTTTTCTTTTCTTACCTGGTTTCAAAGGTTGACTATCAAACATGTCAAATGCATAAAATCAACACAGTTATTGATACAACTAAGCTTCTGCTTTTACCTTTGATGTATGAAGGGAGATAAAAATATTGTGGAAGGTACAACTTCCACAAACAAAAACCACAGAAGCTGGAGAAATCACAAGAAAATGTAAAGTAAAATATATACTTAAGTTGTTTGCTTTTCAAGTGGGCCATTATTTAACAGGCTGTGCAAGCATTAGTTTGCTCACAGCCACAAGAAGTGCAACACAAACTTTTCTATCTCTTAAAAAGTCATGATCTAAAATATTTGGGGCTTATATTTTCACTACAGTAAACAAATATATCTAAAATAAACAAATATGTTTATGAATAAACATAATTTTTACAGTACTGTATCAGGAGACAAAGCTATAAGAAAGCCAATTTAGCTCAGTGCATTGAAGGCACTCATCTAGAGCAATCCAATCAACTACCTCTGCACAACCCTCCTAAAGATAACAGGCTTGCCCAAATGTCATCAAAGAGACTAAAATAAGTGACAGGGGCTCATGCAAATGAAATGGAAACATTGACTGGGAGCATTCCTAGTACTGCTGAGGCACACACACAGAAGAAGGAAACAGTCTGAATGTGCGTTGCTTTGCTATGCTCAAGTTAAACCAGCTTAAGCCCAAACTACCATGAAACATGTAGTCCTATCCTTTTCCATCACCAGCTATTTCTTCTCATTTCTCCTTGTCTCCTTTTCCACCCACATGCAGGGAAACTTTTGGAAGTCACTTGTTTTTGTGCAGCTTGTGACAAGGCAAATGGGAGAACTCCTCAGGTTAAACCTAAGCCAGAGCAGCTCCTTGATCTTGTTCACTCCCACCACATGAGCGCTTGTCCTGGCACAAAGAGTGAGAAGGAGGCCAGAAAGGCTCATAGGTGAGGGAGAGCAGCCGGTGGACCAGACTGCCTATCATGAAAGGTCTACAGGTCTCTTTCAATAGCAGTGCCCAAAATATCTGCCTAAGCTGCCTGTGGAACTTCACTCTTATCTCTTGGTTTCAATTCAAGGGTGAGCTGACATGACTGCAAGCCCCAAACGTTTTTGAAGTACAAGAGTGCAATATTTCAGTATCTTTGCTGAGAAACCTAGAACTAAATAGAAAACATTTCTACTTACTGGCTTAGCATTTTACATGCATTTGAAATTTAGAAACATTATCATATGTACATAAACTGTTATTTCTTTAAGCTAAAGAGACATTTACCTTGAGTATCCCTATAGTCTGCAGATTCTTCTAAAAGATTCTTTAAATAATCTGTATAAAGAAAAAATAATATAGAGATAATTTTGTTAAAAAAATAAACAGCACCAGAAAGTAGTAAAAACCACCTTTTTCCTGGAAATCTGCATTTCAATCAAATCTATGCCACAAAGATCTACTACTTAATCTTTTAAATCTGTCAAAGCAATAACGTAAGGGAAACTAGCATTTCCATAATGAAAGTATATCATGATACCTTCCTCAGAGAAGGTTATTGAAGCAGTGGTGTATGTGTTATTCACATACAAAACAAGCAAGTGAAAAATAAGTACATACTTGCCATCATTTAAGCTGATGCAAAACATTTTGAAAATTACAGATATTTGCCTGAGCACCTAGCTTGTGTATAAGAGCTAAGAAAAAAAGTGGTCCATTACAAAAGATCTGATTATGATTAATATTTTTCAATAATAGAAATATTGTACTCCTCCCCCCCAATGTTCAAATAAGCGCTTTTGAGGTTGAGATTGGATATTAGGAAAAATTTCTATAGTGAAAGAGTGGTCAAGCACTCGAACAGGCTGCCCAGGGAAGTGATAGAGTCACCATCCCTGGAGGCGTTAAAAAAAACACGTAGATGTGGCACTTCGGGACATGGTTTAGTGGGCACGGTGGTGTTGGGTTGACAGTTGGACTTGATGATCTTAGAGGTCTTTTCCAACCTTAATGATTGTGATTTAGTTCCTCAACCACGAGATGGCACCCTCAATCCACTAAACTCTTGGTGGGTTTAAAATCTATTTTACTTGCCAAAATGAACTCCAAATGTAGGACATGAAAACATGTCCCTAGAGTTTCCGTTCCCTGCTCTAGTGTCTAGATCATGAAAAAGTACAATATTCTGTCAAAGATTAATGTATATTCTCAGAAAAAGTCAACCATCTGTTCTCCACAGCCCATACTTTTGAACTGCTTAAAATTGAAAGAAACTAAATCAGAAACTTTCAAAGAAATATAGGTGTTAGATTGATAATATCAACAAATACTCAGTTATAATTACTTTTTAAATGAAGTATTAAGATTCTGGCAGATCTACTGAAAAGTATTCATATGTGATGTAGCAATTTTAGCTTCGCAGTTGTACAAGTTTCATGTAGGAGTGAAATAATTCAACTCCCATATGCTTGCCCTACCCAAATTCATCCTTTTACTCAAGAAGAATCAGGAGCCAATTGTTCCTGCCTTCACAAGAAGTCTTGCTTCATACATGCCCCTCAGAGACCGCTCAGTGTATTGTAATCTTTTCCTTATGCAAAAAAAGGGGAATTATGAAACATGTTTCTGCAGCAGAAATGCTACGAAGAGTGAGCAATCTTGTCACAGTTAATGAAAGCTTTGAGAAAAACAGAACTGCAGAAAGAAAAATATTTGGCACTGAAATGTTATTTTTTGGCACAAACCTAAGGGAGGATCCAAGAGAGAAGCATGAAAGCAGGTTTGGGTGAAGGAAGAGGAACTGGCTGGGGTCTCCTGCAGGGAAGCGGGGAGGGAGCGCTGGGAGGTCTGGCTGGGCCACAGGAACACCCACAGCTTTCTGCTCTCCTCACAGTTTTATCTGATCATTATCAGGCTCTGGTCAACGTGTGATCTTTTAAGACAAGTCTGACATGGCACCGAAACCTCTCCAGCTGCACTCCATAAACATTGCATTCTTCATGCCTTGTGCTGTAGCAGCTACCAGACCTTCCAGTGCAATATTTAGGTGGACACATATTCCATTAAAAACAAAGTTCATCTTGCTTCACTGCAGGTTATGCTGGCAAGAAGCTGATGTGGGAGAAAAAAAAATCAGC